AGTCGATTATTAATCGATTATTGTCGATTACTTAAGAATCTTGTGACATTTTGGTCCAGAAAGATTATTATGGTTTTAACTTTTAAGATTGATTACAGCACCATATATGCAATAACTAAAATATAAAATTGTTTATAAAAATTCTATTAATAAATAAAAATTATTTGAAATTATTTTAATAAACCAGTTGAAAATAAAAGTCAAATGAATATAAAGATACAAAAAAGTAAAATTTTTTACTACGAAACTTACACAATGCCTTTTAGTCTGTTTTATCAAAATACGTCCATAAACACAAAGTTTGTCGAGACTTCATTTTAATAAAACCAAAATATTTTACGTAAACTCAATCCACCTGACACTGTCACTTTTTTCTGTAATTTGTAGTCGTTAACTTTTTGGGAAGCGCGGGAACCTTGAAACGTGATAGGCGCCTTTTTTAAACTAAAATTTTAATTATGTTTTATTTAGTTAAAAGGCACTAAACTTTTATTGTTTTATTGTTACTGGGTTTCCTCATCATGGGGAAACGTACAAAAAAAAGTTGCCGGGAGAAGAAGAAGTGTTTGAAGAAACGACTGAGGAGGAAGAAATTTATACTAGTACTGAGGAAGATCCTGAGAAAGAGCAGCGCAAGTATAAGCCGTACTTTGTATCTGACTACAACAGGAGACTGACTATCTGACTACCCTGAGGACTCTATTCTCGTTGATTTTATTGTATTTGTCGAATCAAATGATGAAAGAAGCCAATCGGCCCGCGGGACATGATGTCTCTGTCCACACATATGAAGAGGTTCAATAAAGGCATTAAATATTTGCAATCTATGAATAAATACAAAATAGGCGTTCATTTTGAAAAGCCCTCTCTAGCGAATGCATTTTTAAATAATATTACTTTTCTTAATGAATACAAAATGAGGGCATCTATCCCAGCTGTAGGGAAAGAAATAACAGGAGTCATAACCAATATTCCCACTAATCTTTCTAATTCAAGAATTTTTGGTATGTTAACGACTTACAAGAAGATAATATGTGTTAAAAGGATAATGAGGAAACATAAGAATGATGCAGGACGCAGTTTGCTGCAGCCGACGGGCACCGTGTCCATCACATTCGCTTCTAATATTTTGCCGGACCACGTCGATCTTCATGGTTGGCTGTTCGTGGTAAATCAGTATATTCCACCAGTGAAGCAGTGCTACAATTGTCTGAGGTATGGTCACTTAGCAAAGTATTGTAAAAATTCTGTGAAATGCTCAATTTGTACTGAAAATCACAGCTACAAAGATTGCCAAGTGTCTTCAGATAAAGCGATATGTATACATTGCAAAGGAAACCATCTAAGCATTTCTGGACAGTGTCCTGTTAAGAAACAAAAGATAAAAGAAAATCAGGCTAAATTACACAAAACCCCATTTGTAGACCTTTTTAATAAAAACGAATTCCCCGAATTTAACAAAAAAAATCCCAAAGATGCTCTTATGTCATTGCTAAAGAATGATGACATTATTAATATAATTTTAAATACAGTCATTAAAGTATTAACTCTTAATAAATCAAATGAACAAACCACCATATCTTCTCAGCTTATTAAAGATGTTCTCATAGATACAATGAAACCAAAATAGATATTTCATTATTTAACATTTAATATTTTATGGATCAGTTTAACATTTTACAATGGAATGCACAGAGTTTAATTAAAAATCGCTTTCAATTTACACAATTTTATATGAGAACACCATAGATGTTGCTCTCATATGTGAAACTTGGCTTAAACCTAGGCACAATTTTAGAGTAAAAGGTTATAATATTATACGATTAGATTCAGGTAATGATCATAATGGAGTATCAATACTTCTACATAACAAAATTGGATTTCGTGTTATCAATACATTCTCTGATGACTCATTACAAAATATAGCTGTACAAATACAATACAATGATAAATTATTAACTTTAGTTAGTGTTTACTGTCCCCTAATTCACCAATTAATTATAATAAATCCAAATTAGATAATTTAATCCAAAGTTTGCCACAGCCAGTTTTTATAGCTGGTGATTTCAACGCCCATCACACGTTATGAGGATGTACTGAATTAGATTCACGAGGTAGGGACGTTCTTGCAAGTATAGATGACAACAATCTTGTAATCTTGAATGATGGTCAGATGACTACAGTAGGATCTCATAGATGGAGGCAGAACACATTAGACTTAACACTTGTTTCATCTTCACTGGCTCTGTCTTGTGAGTGGCAAGTATGTGATGATGATTCTCTAGGCAGCTATCATTTTCCTGTAAAGACAAAAATTACGGTCAATAATCAAAATTTTCAAGAAACAGCTGTATCAAATAACATAAACTTAACATTGGTAGATTGGTCAAAATATCCAAATTTAATCATCATCATCATTATCATTACAGCCCTTCACAAGTCCACTGCTGAACATAGGCCTCCCCCAAAGAATGCCACAAAGCACGGTCCTGAGCCACCTGCATCCATCGACTTCCTGCATGTCTTACCAGGTCGTCACTCCATCTCGTAGGGGGACGCCCTACACTTCGCCTACCGGTACGAGGCTGCCACTCGAGAACCTTTCTTCCCCATCGGTTGTCGGTTCTTCGAGCTATATGGCCGGCCCACTGCCACTTCAGCTTACTAATTCGTTGGGCTATGTCGGTTATTCTGGTTCTACTGCGGATATCCTCATTCCTAAGTTTATCACGCAGAGAAACTCCGAGCATAGCCCTCTCCATAGCTCGCTGAGCGACCTTGAGCTTCCTCATACGGCCAGCGGTGAAGGACCACGTCTCAGTTCCGTAAGTCATCACTGGCAACACGCACTGGTTGTACAATTTCGTTTTAAGGTTTTGAGGTATGTCTGACGAGAAGATGTGTCGTAGCTTCCCGAACGCTGCCCAGCCGAGTTGAATCCGTCGATTGACCTCTCGGTCGAAGTTGGACTTACCTAGTCGGACTATTTGTCCCAGGTAAACATACTCGTCAACAACTTCGAGCTTAGTGCTCCCAACAACTACCGGCATAGGTGTGACATGGACATTAAACATGATCTTTGTTTTGTCCATGTTCATCTTAAGACCTATCCGTTGGGAAACACTATTGAGGTCATTGAGCATAGTGCTTAGGCCCTCCAGCGATTCTGCCATAAGGACTATATCAATAAACCGTTATCAGAAGTATAGTTACAGCTGATATTGACAGGATAACCGATGTTGCAATATCACATGCAGATTTATATTCAATTTTAAAACAAGAGTTAAAAGAAGAATGGAAAATGCAATGGAATGCTGTTTTAGAGGCAGGAAAAGGTCGTTGGTATGCATCAATTAATTCAGAATTAAGTATTCCTTGGTTTTCTCGCAACGATATGCGAAGATATCATAGCAGAAAATTTTATACAATAATGTGCAGACTTACATTTGGCCACTATCGACTGAACGCTCATCTTTCCAGGATGAGAATAGTAGCTTCTACAACTTGCAATTTCTGCGATACAGTAGCAGATCAGACTGCAGAACATATAATATTTAACTGCTCAGTGTACGCCATAGAAAGATTGCTACTCATTGAAAAACTTATACAAATTTATAAAAACTCAGAAAGCGTCCCGCGTGCCCTGTAAGATATTCTTAGGAATACTAAGACATATTTAGCACTTTGCAATTTTATTCATAATACTGTAAAAGAAATATGAAATAAGGTATTCCTGTTTTTGAAAATATTAGATTGACAAATCTACATGGATTGAAACTTACAAAGAGTAGAATATAAAGAAGACTTGGCTTTAGCCTTTACGGGTTTTTGAAAATATGAAGAATTAAAGAAAATAAGACTTGACTACGGCCTTTATGGATTTTGAAAAGATGGAAAGAAGAAAAATAAGACTTGGTTCCGGCCTTTACACTCTAAAATTCTATATATTCAAAATAAAAAAGACAAGGCTGTATAGCTTAGTTCCTTTGCCTGCTCTCTCGAGCGAATAATAAAAACAACAACAACAACAACGTTATTTTTTTATTAATTCATAGGGACTTCTAAATCAAAGTTTATTTACCAATATTAAATGGAGAATCAAATTTTTAACTGACTTTAAAAAGAAGGAGGTTTTCAATTCGTCGGAATTTTTTTTTTATGTATGATCAGTGTTCACCGATTACTCGAAGACTCCTGAACTGATATTGAAAATTCTTTTTTTGTTTAAAAGGATATACTTTCCAGGTGGACCACCTGGAAAATATATCACAAAAAAGAATTTTTAAATTTTATCTTTATTTAAAAATATTTTTTAAAAATATATTTATATTTTATAAAAAATCAACAATAAATTATTTTTTTATATTGAAGTCGGTTCAACACAATTTTTAATTTGCCACTTGTTAAATGATAAAGTTGCCCTAACAAATAAAATTTAAGAAATTGGTAGTGTTTTGGTTTTGTTTTTTCACACAATCGATAATTATCGATCATGAAATCATAATCTACAGCAACCGATTATTTGAAAAAGCAATGAATCGATTGTTGATAATCGTTTGCGAACATCAGTAAACTATTCCTTCCTACTAATTAATTTATTCTATTAAGATTTAATTAACAATTTAAATTATAATTATATATTAGGATAAATAGCTTTGCTCTACTTTTGTCCTCAAAACAATACCCATTTGTGTATATTTGCGTTAGCTGGAACGTAACTTAGCGGAATCCATTTTCTGCGTTGTTGTGACAATTTGATATTTGCTATTCTGTTGTGAAAAGCGATGAATGTGATGCTGATCAACTATAACTTGTTTGAAATAAGTGATGTTTAAATCTTATGTATATCGTTGAAATATGATAAACATTATAACAGTATATAAAGCTAGCTGTAAATTAGTTCATAATGGGTTGAAGTGATTGTCAGCGGCAAAATTTCTGCATTGGTATTTATAATTTTAGTATTTTTAGAGGACTGAATACAATACATAACAATAATCATGGAACTGGATGTATCACCTTTAAATCCAACAGAAAACAGCATGGATTATTCGGATAATTCATCCGAAAGTAAATATTTGTCTTGCAATAGCAATGAACAATATTCTGTCATTCGTATCCCACAAGATGGTGAGAAGTCCAGTAAACATTCTTCCAGAAAACAGTCAAAAAGGAGAAAAAAGAGTTCAAACCATTCTAGACCTCTTCCTAGAATAATTGTCAAACCTTTGCCTCCTCCACCCCCGGAAAACCGCGAGTGGACAGCAGCAACGTCTTACTCTGACACGAGCTCTAATTCAAACAGACCTTCTACAATGCGTGAGGTTTTAGCAAGTATACCTGGATTTTGTATTAAGCCACGAAAAAGAAGTGGAAAAAAATTATCAACAGCGGCTCAGTTACAGCAAACAAGAGAAGGCTGTATTGATTTGGAGACACCTGATTCAATATTAGTAAACACAAATATACGGGCCCTCTTAAATAAACATACATTTTCCCTTTTACCGCCTTTATACCAATATAAACTCGGACAATTGCTTCCAAGTGTAGACAGACCAAGCACATCTGGAAGATTAAGTTCATCTAGTCTCAACAATGAATTTTTTGCTAGAGCTTGCCTTGAATGGCAAGATTGCCTTTCAGGGGGAGAATTTACTCCAGAAAATCAACAAAAAATTAAAAGTGAAGCTGAAAAAGAAAAAAGTAAAATTGATCCCTGGAAATTGAAACATTTTGAACCATTTTGGGGTGAAAAGACAAAAAAAGAAAAACCATCGGTGAATTTGAATACAGAAAGACCATCTTTAAAAACTACTATAAAATTAAGACCAACAGCTTCAATAACAAGTAGTAGTACTGTTCCAAAAATAAAAAAAAGTAAATCATCAAGCACTAATAAAAAAATAAGGTCTGTTGGTGCAGTAACTAGGTCTTCTGCTAAGGTCGAGGACACTGTTGACGAAAGTGTAGTTGGTCTAAAATCATCAGTACCAATGCCAGATTTACTTCCTCTTAAACACATGAAAACTAATCAAGGATATGTTGATTGTCAATTAGACTTCAGTTTTTCTGACTCATCTTCTGTGCCTAGACTAGAAGATTCTGTGCCTACAACACCAGTGGACCCTTTATTATTACCTGATGAATCTGAACGCAGTGAATTGAAACAAGAATTAGACATAAGTGTGGTTACTATAGAAGAATCTAGTATTGCTAAAGACTGCGAAGAAGATAAGGCAACTGATTCAGATGCTAACTACCCTGAGCCAACTAAGAGATTAAGTAGTGATAACAGTGAATATATGTACTCCAAGAGAATTAGATATGAAGAAGAATATATTATGGACAATCGAAATTTTTTAACACAAAATGCTGAAGAATCTTGTAGCAACAACTGCTCCGATGGAGAAACAAACTATAATAATGAACAGGTATGTCAGAGTGATGACAACAATATCTTTCCTGGCCCTGACAATGGAGATACTAATAGTGAAGATAGTAAAGCAACAACATCAATTTATGAATATGATGAAAGAAGTGTTTCATCAATGTCCAGTTTGAAAATAGAAGCTCATCTCAATAATGTATGTATAGTAAATGAATCTAACGAAAATGGAAATGAATGTGAAAACACAAGGGAAGGGATAGAACAAAATTATAATGATGATAAAGAAACTAGTAAAGATTTAAATAAAGTTGAAAATCAAGATGGAAGTGTAGAAGAAACATTTGTAGAAATTGTAAAAGAGGAAATGAATATTCACATAGAATCATATGATTATAAAAAATCACCTATTAGTACAAAAGAGGAAACTTATCAAAATATAGAGGTTGTTGAAGATACAGAGTGTCAGAGTGAAGAGCCAAAAGTTAACATTTTACTGAATAAGCAAGATAATGAAATCAAATGTGAAGAAAAAGATAAGCCTACCGATAATATCACGTCAAGTTATTATGATGAACACTTCAAAGATGCAGAATCTTTTATATTAGAAACAGGTGGCCTCTCTATATTGACTCCACGTAAGTTTAATTTATTTTTATTTCATTAATATATTCTTACCATTAAACTGCAGTAACAATGGGCGAACAACCCAGGACCAGACAAACTTGCTTATGTACCCTTTACCTTAAGGTGTTACATTTATGTTTTTAAATAGATAAATAAATAAATATATAAACATACAATATACATAAATATCTTTACTTAAATGAATACTGTATTATGTATATATAACAGAACATCAATACTAGAAGAAAAATAATAATATTAATTTTATAATGATTTCTTATATTTACACAAACACTACACATTGAATAAAACTATTTTTACGGATTTTATCGCGTTTAATTAACTTATTTCATATTCCCCATGATCCTCGAGTCCCAGTCCCCCGTGACCACGGTTGCTGGAAAGCAACCGAAACGTCGGGAATATAAAATAAAAGTTAATTAAACGTGATAAAATCCGTAAAAATAGTTTTAATCAATATTAATTTTATTAATAATTTTGATAATTCTTTTAACTAATTATTGAACTCTCAGACATAAGATTGTACCGTTACAAAGATCAGCATGTTGATTACACAAAATATTATATTGTGTGGTTATTGAAGCTAATCTGTGTTGAAATTATTAAAAATCTGCATCATTACCATTACATTATTTAATATTAAAAAAATCTTCAAAATATATAAGTAGTCTTTAATTTCTAATTGTTGTTTATAATTTTTTGCTCAATGCAATGTTATTTCAACAATAATAAAAGTGTTAAATTACCGCAACTATTTATCTTGACCAATTTTTTTTTTATATTTGAAGATATATATATATAAACACACATAATCTTTCAGAACATGAAGAGAGCAAATACACACCACATCCAAATTTAATGGAACTGACATCATTTATGAGTGAAACAAGTGAGTAATTTTAGAAATCAAATAGTGGCAGATATGTAGGTATTTAATAAAATATTTTAACTTGAATTAGCTTTATTTTACCTACCTTTGTGTAACATTATTTAATTTCAACATGTATGGATTATTTACAGATGCAACAGCTGTTGTAACAATGCCAATGACTCAAAATTCATCAATTCCTATGATAGAAGTCACAAATTCTACGGTAAGTAAAGATAATTAAAGGGCATCATAATAATATTGTATTTAATTTGTATTTGTCACATATTTATTAATAGTTATATTGCAGTTGGTGTCATACCCTGATGACAACCTACAAGACCCGGCAAAACCAAAAAACTCAGCTGTGTCATGGAAAACTGACAATGATTGGACTAATGCTGAAAACATTATTACCTTACACAATTTTTCTTGTGTAAATGCCGACAATGCAAAATACATGAGTGAAGATTCAAAAGCAAGTATAGAAGATGTGAATATTAATGATGAAAATTTTATGTGTAAGGAGGATAGAGATACAAATTTTAACATGGAATCATCCAACTCATCAGAAAGTTGTCAATCAATGAAAGATTTAAAACAGGAAACTGAACCAGCTACTAGTGTTGTATCGAGTTCAACTATATCCAATCCCACTATTAATTCTACAACAGTGACACAAAATGTAAGAGTTACTGGGAAAAAGTCAAAGTCTGGGAAAGAATCGAACAGGTAAGAAATATATGTTGTGATATTAACATTATGGCAATGGAACATAATATATGTTTTATCAAAAAAATAATAATTTATATAATGTTACATAGCAGATGTTCAATATAGGAAGGCAGCAATGTAGTACATTGATAAATGTAACTTTTTCCATGTTTTTATTTAAGTCACTTCTTTGTCGGTTGGTCGGGTGGAATTTAATAATTGATTTTAAACTAACTTCCCGATGAGCTGGAAACTTGAAATTTTGAATATAGCTCAAATTCGAATGACAATTCAAGAATAAGTTTAAAAAAAATACAATTTTTGTTACTGTTATAAGCCAGTTCTTGACTACTATCCCATCTGATGGTGAGCATTATTGCCATAACTTTTGTGGTAATAGCTTAAGGGAAACCATCACTCTTTATACTCCATTTAATATGACCAGACCAGCAAGATGGGAAGCAGCATTAAAGGTGCAAGGTGTGGTATTTCTATTTCCAATCCACCTTTAATGCATTGTGGCAACAACAAATACTACCTATCAAAAGTAAACAGCCCTCCCCATAGATTATCTCACAGGGGGCATATTTGCCATAGGTGCCATGCTATTCAAATAGTTTTTTAAATTTATTCAACTCTTATCAGGAAGATGTTGTTGCCCATCTGCTGGTTTAGTTTCTCACTTACAACACCCACACCCCACAGAATGATATAAGATAGTGGTTATTCTTACTCTGCCACTACACATATATACACCACGAGGACAAGTAGAGTAGATAACTACTACGATATACTAATAAGAACAGGAAATATGACGACAAATAATAGAATGGCATTATTTTATTATTATTTATTTTTATCATTTCAAGTCATATATAGATTACAAGTAATACTTAATCAGTCTTATTTATGCCTTTACCACTGGTTAAAATAAAACCTCTTGCTCTGGAAAGGACCAGCAAGAAACCCAGTGGGACTTGTTTAAAAAAAAATTATTTACAATTATGTGCAATTATTTGTAATGTCCTCCAGACCGAATTTCGGTCACGACGGTCAGCCTCAACGGAGACTAGCCATCGGCGCAGGACAGGATTATAATGCCCAAGTATATGCACAAGCACAGGTGCACTCTCTATTCCCTCACTCTCAAAGTCCGATGGGGCAGTAAAACCGACAAAACCGGAGAGAGATCAGGTGCAGGACCAGCAATTATTTATATAACATTTAGATACAACATGGTAGACAACCCTCCGAGAGGCTATCAAAAGTCCACTGCTGAATGTAGCCTTCCCCTTAGATAGTCATAGGAGGAATATTTACCATTGTTGCCATGCTTGGCAGGCTAAGAAATAACTGTGGTTACAGTTTTTTTTAGTTGTTATTAGGAAGTCTCTGCTTCTCATCACCCAGTTTGTTTCCCTCCGTCGCCTCTTATGACACCCACGGGACGATATGGAGTAGTGAATATTCTTACACCGCTACCACACATATATGGTTCATCATAATTCTTTAAAAAATATTATTAAAAAAACTTTACTTTTTGATAGATAATAGGCCATGCGCATTTTCTAGAACTTTGTTGTAAAAGTGTATACATTGCCTTATGAAGAAATTACTTACTTGAATCAAGTAACTGGTATTATTAACTGGTGCTTGTCCCTAGTATTTACAGAATGTACATGTAGTATTTGTATATGTTGGGCCTCTTCTATCTTTAATTAATAATTAATATTATTATAATAATTATTATTACTAATAATATAATTATAGTTAGTGCCACTGTAAATGATTGTGTGTAAGTGATTGATTTCTAAACATTTTGACCGATTAATTTACACAATGTATATTTTTCCTTGACAAAATGGTTCATAGCTATGCTAAAACCTGATAGAGAATGTTGTAGTTAATATTTATGGACCAAAGTGACTTACATTATTTTGATACACTGTGGTTGAATCTTTACTAAATTTAATATTATAAATTAAATTATTGATATTATATTAAATTTAATATTATAATATTTAATTTAATATTATAAATATTAAATTTAGTAAAGTATACTAAAAAGTCTTGGAGTGGGATATATATGAGATAGATGGATAAGTCATTATCAATAGTAAAAATTTTAGTATTTATTATTTGAGAAATAAATTATAAACTATAATTGCAAGCCAGAATTACATTTGTCGAGGTTGTTTTGATGACTTTTAATTTATTTGTAATTTTTGCATTAAAACCTGTGTGCTTTTGTGTCCGGTTTGGAGGAAGGAAAAATATTTTAATTTTAGTTTTACGAAAATTTTATAATATGTGCAAAGAAAAATATATAATTTATTTTTATTTATGCTAAACTTACAGAAGTCGCAGCTCGAATAAAGTTCCGCCTGGGGCAGTGAACCTGGAGCGCAGTTACCAGATCTGCCAGGCTGTTATACAGAACAGTCCAAACCGTGACGCTTTGCGGGGGCAGTTGCGGCCGCCTCCCGCGCTGTTGAACCGACCGACACGAACGCCACGCCCGCCCCCGCCGGTACTCGTGCGCCAGTTGCCCGGCCCCGTTGTTCCGCACGCTGAGGTACTGCCGTATTTTGATTGTCTTATTACATCTCGCGTTAATATTTTTAGGCTCGAACATAAATAGGCATTCCTAAAATATAGAAAATTTAAGTACACAAATGGAAAGTTATTGTTGCATTTCGTTCGACTGTACCTTGTGGAAATAACTATTCTATGTTACATGATATTACCAGATAATAATAATCAGTTATGCAAGGACTAAATGTTTAGTGGAGTCCTATTAATATATATCTTGGACACTTTGTCTTTATTATCTATCATTGCGAAAACTATACACTGAGGAAAAAATAGGTATTACTTCTGTATTTTTGCTTTTGTGAGTAATGTCCTTTCTGTCATCTGACATGGTTATTACCTTGTATCAAATTCGGAAAATGAAGCAAAAACTTATAAATATCTGTCAAATTTTTCCCTTTATGCACTAAAATCCTTTAATTGGGAATATTGAACAAAGTTAAATATTTAGGAAAAAGCTAGTATCAATAATTCATTCAGATACTTATTTCAATGTAAATCAGTTCAAATCAGCCCAATGTTATTGCTAAAGACCAGAAATAAAAGGGCTTCAATTCTGCTCTATATGCTAAATTTTAAAACCATATCAATGCCTAGTGTACATAAACTAAACAATTTTTTTTTCAATTGTTATTCATTCTTATATTAATAAAATAATCATGTACTTTTTAGGTCAATGAGAATCGCTCTAATAATAATATGGGCCAATATATTCTTGTGCAAAGGACGCCTAATGTGATACCTAGAGCATCAAGTGCACCACCATCAAATCCAAACACAAATGTTGTAAGTGTACATATTATAATGTTATTTGAGAATTGTTTTTATTTGAGTAACTAGCTGTACCCCGCGACTTCGCCCGCGCGTAATTTATTACGATTGGATTTCATGGGTTTTAATTTTTTTTCGCGGAACCCTAACTCTTTTTTTTTAAATAAAAGTAGCCTAAGTTACTTCTTATAACATCAGCTATCTGCCAGTGAAAGTCCGGTCAAAATTGGTCCAGCCGTTCCGGATATTAGCCGGTACAAACAGACAGACAGAAAGACAGACACACAAAAAATTTAAAAATCGTGTTTTTGTTATGAGTACCGTATATACTTTCATATGCATATAGTACAAAGCTGTTATTTCGACATTACAAATAGACACTTTAATTTTATTTATAATAGAATAAAATAAAAGTAGCCTAAGTTACTTCTTATAACATCAACTATCTGCCAGTGAAAGTCCGGTCGCAATCGGTCGAGCCGTTCCGGATATTAGCCGGTACAAACAGACAGACAGACAAAAAATTTAAACATCGTGTTTTTGTTATAAGTACTGTATATACTTTCATATGCATATAGTAAAAAGCTGTTATTTCGACATTACAAACATGTCTGTTTAATTTTATTTATTTGTATAGATAATCTATATCTATATCTTAGCATTATTTTCAGAATGTAACGAGATGCCGCAGTGTAGGAGCCGATGATGCCTGTGTGTGTAACCTGCGCGCAATGATATTGTGTAAGAAGTGTGGGGCTTTCTGTCATGATGACTGCATCGGCTCAGCAGAATTATGTCTTACTTGTCTTATACGCTGACCCATTGTTACAATTACAAGATGAATATTTCTTCTGCTGTTATAGTAGCAGTAATTGCTTATTTGCCAGGCCATACTATTTATTATATGAACGTTATACCTATGTTTATATATGTAGGTATAAATTGTACCAATATATTAATCTGTTAGAAGTGCAAATTATAGGATGGTACAATTTATTGTATAGACGAATGCAAGATTATTGGACAATGGATTGTATTAAATGGTGGTGCTATCTGTTTTATGTATTGAATAGTTTTCAGGCTTAGTGTTTTAATTTTTATAAAACAGCTCAAAACAGTCCTGGATAAGTGGTTCTTCTAAGAATTCTAATTGACCTACATTGTAATAATGTACATAATTAGTTTTAATTAACACAGGTTATGTCAGTTATTTTTATTTAAGTCCTAGCACACCCGCCTTTTGGCGGGTGTTACGATTTAGAACATAATTACAGCATTTTATGCGAGGTCTAGCAATAAATTAATAATTACACAACATAACAAGACTTGTATTTACAGTAAATCATTTTTTCGGATCACATTTTCACCCTTATGTCAACTACAGTCTTATATTATTATTGTGTTATTTGGACATTTATACAATTATTATTTAATTCCATGCACAATCTTTGTATTTTGTAACCATTAATATTTGTATAGTCATTAAATAAGCATTGTTTCTTTTTTAAATGTAATTATAAACTAGGATTTTTATAAACATATAATATAATATATTAATTTAAACGAGAACAGTGCAGAATTTTGTTGTATTCACAATTTAAATAAATACAAATTTTGAGACATTTTTAATAGTACATAAAAGGTCACCAAAAGCTATTGTTCACATTATTGCCATTTTATTTTTAACACATCACATTTGTCAGTAAATTTTAGGCTTTCTAGAAATATGCTAATTAGATGGTATGTTATTGAGGGTCAGATATTTGTAGTTCGAATTTAACTTGCACTGATTTTCCTTGTATTCGTATGTTTGTATCTTAGGATTTGTACAGATATTTATTGATATAAAAGGCTGATGGATTGAACATCAGATGAAGTTGTAATTCTATAACTAAGGTTTCTATGAGTAAGTTAACAGTAGTTAGATACTGACTGTTTTAAGTTTCTATAATGGCGTGTACACTAATAAGTTATTCAATATATTTATCGTTGTTTATATGTATTATTTTTCTAAGAATATTTAAGCATTATAAATAACTTTGTAACCTATTTTTTTTTCTAAAAATAGACATTTCTAAATCTCCTTTTTTTCCCTTTTGTTTATCATAACCTGTATTAACAACCCTTTGGTTTTATAATTTGTATGGTAAAATTGCAATATTCTATTATCATTGTTATGAAAACTACTGTATATAATAATCAAGAAATTACTAGTAATTTAAAATGCATTCAAATCTTAAATTCAGTTTGTTCACGTTCTCATGATAAACTGGCAGTAGCATTAAGATCTGGAATTTTCAATTTTAAGTAATATCTCTTACCCTTTTTACATTCAGTTGATTCAATATTCTATTTTTTATGAAAGATTAAATACCTTAAATATGTAAATTACACGTGTATTTATTATGTAAAGTACACTTTTTCTCTTATAACTTAATAAGGAAATTTTATGCCGTACCACATTAGAGAACCCACTATCATCACGTGGGAGTCGTAAAAGACGATAGGTGGAAATAAAACAAGAGATACAGTTAGGAAACGCCTTCGATGTCAACCGATGCCGCCACCCGTGTAGGTATTTACTAATTACGCCGTCATCACAAATATGCTAGTTGCTAGGGGTTATCACGAAATTGGGAGTAAAATAATTAAAGGAGTAAAGTATTATTATACTCATTATCATTTATTAACATTATGTACATACATATAAGTTAAAAACGTTCATTAAATAACATCATTTTATATTACTACAAGAACAAGTACACTTACAATATGCTGAGCAAATGTGGCGGCGGCGTTGCAGATCCTCCTTAGCTCCAGCCTACGAATTTGGAGTGTATATAAAAATATACTGACAGACGTATATTAAATAGAACATCAAACATTTCAAAAATATAAATTATGTAAATTGCACCTATATAGTTTATAAATAATAACCGGCGAGTAATATATATAAGAAATAATAAGTGCGAAACGGACTCGCGCATGAAGGGTTCTGTATCATCGTAAAAGACGTTTCTAGTAGGGGAGCCTCTTTTAATTTTTATTATTGGGGTTATAGCGTCATGAGATACAGCCCGCTGACAGACAGACAGACGGACGGACAGCGGAGGCTTAGAAATAGGGCCACGTTGGATAACCTTCGGGTACGGAACTCTAAAACAATAAGTAAAAATCGCTCACCTTATAACTTCGATATAACGTAATTAGAATTGGGTACTTTTTGCAATATGAAAAACCGCACCCTGCTTAAATATAATTGTATCATCGTTAAAAATGCATAAAAAGTGGTAGAGCCATGCTGCAGCTATATTATGGTTGTAGCACGAATGGGTCGGCTCGAAGGACCACGCTCTCACAGAAAACCAGCGTAAAATAGCAGCTTAACGCTGCTGTGTTTCGTATGGTGAGTGTAGAGAACCGGAGACCCTTTTTACTGGCAAAGAGGCATTCCATCTTAGTCCTCACGGGTGACAACGCATCTGCATCTTGAGTCTTTATTGAGGATAGATGTAGATGTCTATGGGTCACAGTAACCACTTACCATCAGGTGGACTGAGTGCTCGTTTGTCACCCGATCCTATAAAAAAAAGTTAATAAAGGTTAACACTTATAGTTTAGACCTGGCAACATATAACGCACGCACCCTGAGGACTGACGAGAAGATCCTGGAGCTAGAAGAAGAAATAGACAAGTTGCGCTGGAATATTATAGGATTATCCGAGGTCCGAAGAGTTGGAAGACATGGTAATCTTCGAATCCGGCAACTTTTTCTATTGTGTATGTAGTGTGTATGTATGGATTTATCGTCCACAAATCTCTCGTTAACAACGTTTTAAAGATTGAGAGTGTGTTGACGAGGGTTGCGTACCTTATACTCAGAATCACCAAACGGTATTCGCTGAAGGTCATACAGGTTTACGCACCAACCTTGACATATCCCGATGAAGAGGTGGAGGAAATGTATGAGGATGGATACGGTGTTAATGGGAGACTTCAACGCAAAACTTGGCAAAAGAGAGAACGGTGAGCTGTAGGTAGGGAAATTTGGAATAGGGCAACGGAACCCAAGCGGCCAGCAGCTGGCAGACTTTCCATATATACACTTTATCTATGTGGCCGACTTCATGGAGAAAGTAGGACTATTTATGATGAACTCTTTCTTCCAGAAGCGGCCCACAGGAAGTGGACCTGGTCGAGCCCCGACGGTTCGACAAAAAAAGAGGTTGACTTCATTATGACGATCAGATAACAACTGTTCAGTGATGTCTCAGTGATCGTGAGGGTGAAAACCGGCAGCGATTACCGAATGGTGAGAGGCACACTAATCCTAAACGTTAAGTTGGAGAGGTCTCGTCTAATGAAGTCAACGCACCGTCCCCCTCGTGCTCTAATCCAAAGTCCCCAAAACCGTTCAGCTCGAACTACAAAACAGTTTCCAGTGCCTAGGAGATTGCAATGCAGTGGTCGATATGAATATGAATGAAAGAAACTGTCCATGCGGTCGGAACTAAGATCTGCAAGACCCGCCACAGAAGGACACAAAGACTCCGATCACACTCTTAACCTCATGGTTGTTAGACGGGAAATAAAGCTGCAGTCTTCAGCAGATTTGACGGCGTATAGGCAACAAGTTCAATACAGCCCGTATTGAAGAAGCGATCGGGCGGAACCAGGGTTCCAAATTCTTTGCTAGAGATCTGTCTGCCAGAAAGAACCAACTGTAGAAGATGAAGACCGAGTGTGGCAGCGTCGTTTCCGGGACACCTGAGATTTTGAGTGAGATTGAGAGGTTCTATGGACAGCTGTACACATCATAGTTGGAGCCGCACGCAAGTGTGAGTAATGATCCAAGATTGAGTTTATATTATTAACTAGTTATGTCTAACAGTACCATATTGTCAGTAAGCTCGACGTCGTATTAAGTAATAATATTCTGTGTTATGGCTATAGTGTTAAATAATCTATAACCCCATTTCGTCCCGTGGGTACCATACAAGGCGATTATGGGAAAGGACATTGTTGACAAACGGCCTATCTTATTTTCCGGCGGCGCCATATTTGAACGAAAACAATGAGGGCATCCACGACTTTTTCTGCCACCAGGGCGGCGCCACTAGAAAGTGAGGTATAATATTCAACAGATTTCATAGTGGGGAAGTTAATTTGATCGGAAAATGTAAAGGTTATTGTTTCTTTCTGTATTATTAGCTATATTATATATTATAAAGATTAAAAAAAAATAACTTCTTTTACAAAAAAAGAAGTTATTTTTTTTAGTTGAAAGGAAAAAACAAGAAAGAACAGATAAGAATGATAGAAGAATATCGGATAACTTCCAGGCAAACATTAAAATGTTCTGGAAACTCGTAAGAACTGCCAGGGGACATTTGAAACAGCTTAGAATGAATGCTATACGAGACCAGAATAGCTGTATTCTGAATGACGAAGTTTTGAGTTTAAGGAGATGGAAGGAATACTTTGAAAGCGTGTTTATCAGTGATGAGACGTTTGAATTAAATGAAATAGAAATTCCGAAAGAGGAGGAAATAGATAGAGACATAAGTATACTTACGCGGGTACTTAAGCGGGTACCGGTAGACTGGTGCAAAGCCGTAATAGGTAGTCCCAATATATAAAGGAAAAGGATCACAGCAGAACTGTAAAAACTACCGTGGGATCAGCCTTCTTAGCATTGTGGGAAAACTGTATGCGAAGGTACTAATTGAAAGAGTTATGAAAGAAACTGATGGTAAAATTTGGGATGTGCAAACGGGATTTAGAAAGGGAATGGGATGTACAGATCAGGTCTTTTCCA